CAGACAGACAGACAGACAGACAGACAGACATACGTACGTACATACAGACAGACATACATACATGCATACATACATACAGACACAGAGAGAGAGGGAGGGAGGGAGGGGAGCTCTCTTCCTTCATACTCAGCAAAGTCATCACAGCCCAGTTGTCTGTGTAGTTCTCTTTCCACGTACATGAGGGTCATTATGGATGTATCTGACATGAGGATTGGCCTAAATACAGATATGACCTCATTGCGGGCCCACGTTCTATTTGGGGCAACGAGGTAACAAGATAAGGCTGTCAGGATCAGACGTCATGGTCACGTCAGGGTTTCAGATATTAAATTATTAATTTATTAATTTAATAGATAATAAAAATTATGCACAGACAACTACCATCCGGCCTTGTCACCAGAGAACACTTCAGTGTACTATGGTCTGATCCTTTCAGTTCCTTTTTTCTTTTTTCTTTTTTCCCCTTGTGCTGAGTCGTGGGTCCTGACCTTTCTTTCGCCCTCTTCCCTCTCACCCTTTCTCCTATTTCTCTCTGCGCTGAAACTTTTTTAAAGTTTTTTTAACTTTTTTTCTGCTAAAGTGGCCCAAACGAGACCCATTCTGACTTTTCTGATTTTGACAGATTGGGGTAGGTCCCACTAGCAAAGAGGATTGGACTTGAATTAAAACTTGAATCTGGACGTGTTTTGCGGGCAAGTGCAGAAAAGCAGATCCATCATGCTTTTCTGCACATCTCCACAAACGCGTCCAGATTCAGCAGTTCAGTCTGATCCTCCTTAGTAGTGGCACCTCACCGCCGGTGTATTACCTACCAATGCTACCATGTATCGAATGACCCTTCGGCGTTAACCTTGAAAAGACTCTGATGAGTCTGATCATTTGTGGAGCCCCAGGTTCTCTTCACTGACTACTGTCTCAGTTTCGACGACTGGCCGTTGATAGAGCCTTCCTTCGCCCTGAGACCCCCTTCTGATTGAACGATTTTCCAGATCCCTCCTCTCCCATTCC